GTCTAGAATTTTTATTTATCTATTGACTATTATTGCTCTGTTTTTTGCTTTTTTTAATATTGATCAATTTATTTACAAAAGTCTGCTCATCTTTAAATGCATTAAAGTCCAGTAATTTACTAGCCAGTGTATTTTGTTGTGGTATAATGATCTTTGTATGTGTGTGTATATATATATATATATATATATATATTCAAAGATATGTTTGGTGGTACAAAATTTTATCACTGCCATGAATAGACAAAAATTAGTTTTATTATTACCACTCATGATAATAAAAAGTAAAAATGAAAAACGGGCTAGCTAACCGGTTTCATACCTCGCTCAACAGAGCTAAATAGATTAAATTATATAATAAAAAGAATAATGGACAACGTTTATTGGTGGGAAGAAGAAAAAAAAATTAAATGGTAATTAGTTGGAGGCCTAATATAAAGTCCTTCTGTTTACAAAGAGAAGGCTTTAAAGATAGAATATAGATGGCCTCCAACACTTTTAGGTGGTAATTTGAGTGGGACTTGCTAAAGATGGTAAAAACGTCCACACTAAAACTAACAGGAGACGCAAAATTGATTTAATTAAGACCCTTATGCATAGAGCTCTCATGATCTGTTTGAACATCAAGTTGGATGATGAACTCAAGTTTATTACTTCTACTCTCTGCAACAATGCCTACCCATTGGGCATTGTTCAAGCAATTATTAAGAACAAAATTGCTGAATTTAACAAAGTGAAACCTGCTATAGTAAAAAGATGTCCTGTATACCTACGTCTTCCTTAGGTAGGTAGTATCAGCGATAGTTTTGCTAAGCAGGTTTTTATTGCAGTTTGACATTGTTACTTTGCTGCTAACAGTCGTGTTGTTTTCTCTGCCAGGCCCATTCTTCTGTCTATACGTAAGGATGTTCTCCCACCACACCATAATAGTTCACTAATTTATTCCTTTAAATGTAGTTGCGGTTCGCACCACATAGGAAAAACAATGCAAAAGCTAGATGCTAGAATCCACACGTTCCAGCGAAAATCTGAAACTGGAAGTACACTCCCTCGGACATTCTGACCAATACGTATGGATCTTCCATCGCAGAACACCTTATAAAATAGCCATAACTGTGCTGTTAGTTTTAGTGCGGATGCTTTTAGCATCCTTAGCAAGTCCCACTCAAATTACCACATAAAAGTGTTGGAGGCCATCTATATTCTATCTTTAAAGCCTTCTCTTTGTAAACAGAAGGACTTTATATTAGGCCTCCAACTAATTACCATTTAAATTTTTTTTTTCCCACGAATAAACTTTGTCCATTGTTCTTTTTTTTTTTTAAATATAATTTACTCTATTTACCTCGATTTAGCTCTGTTGAGTGAGGTACGAAACCGGTTAGCTAGCCCGTTTTTCATTTTTACTTTTTATTATCATGAGTGGTAATAATAAAACTAATTTTTGTCTATTCATGGCAGTGATAGATATATATATATATATATATATATATATATATATATATATACACACACACACAGAGTTCTTGGGCCAACCTGCTTCACAAAACTTGACCAAATGCTCAAACAATTTGTTTTTAGAAAGGGCTTCTTGGCTGCAGTTGAGAGCTTTCCAATACCACCTTAAGTATGTGCATGTGTATAGGGTGGGGTAATGAAAATTTTGGTGCATTTGAAGATTGTGCGCAAGCTGAAAGCCATATTTTGTGCCAGTATCCTTTGTGAGTCACCATGCAAACCAAGAGTTTACATTCTTATATTACTAATGTTTTAGGTTAATATTTTACTGTTACACCTGTCTATGTGACTGATTATTATTTAATGCTGTTTAAGTAGTGAACTAGCTAATGATGGTGTAGTAAGGGCAGAATTTATCATGCGCATTAGGTCCATAAAGGTGATGGTGTAACAGTAAAGATTTACCAGTTTTTGTAAGACTGTAATTTAGCAGCTTAGTGACTTTTTTCCTGGTCTGAAATGACACATTTTAAGAAGCAGAAAATGTGCATTGAAGTTTGATTCAATGTTAAAGAAATGGCTGCAGAAATATTTAAGGAAGCTTTTGGTGACAACGCTTTGAACCAGAGCAAAGTTTATTTTATGGTATAGACACTTAAAGGACAAATAAATATCTGCTGATCTGGACAACTGTTACCAAGTACATAAGAAATCATTGCAAAAATATAAAAAATTATGTGTAGATCATCAATAAACTATCCATAATGTTTGTTGAATCATAGGATTGTCAAAGAGGAGGATTCCACGTGACAGAGGTCTTAAACAAGAAACATTACTGCAAAATATGTGTTGATATTGCTGGGTAATGATAAACAATATCACTTTGCTGTTTGAAAGGAATTTAATTTCATCACCAAAATAATAAACAGTGATGAATTGCATGTTTATGGTTATGACTCTTGAAACAAAGCAGCAGTCATTACATCAGAAGAACTTATCAAAATCAATACTGTCATAAAAAAAAGTCAAGATTTTTTTTTTTTTTTATTATTTAAAACATTGTCCATAAGGAATTAATTCCTTGTCTTCAATTTATTGCAAACCTCCAGATATATGGAAGAACAATGACTGGCCTCTTCCCTATGACAGTGCACCTGTCCACACATCCATTATTCTGGCTTCCAAACATATAACCATCATTCCTATTCATCTGATTTCCACCCCCCCTACAACTAGTTCCTTTTCTAAGATGAAATTCTGCCTGAAATGACAGGGTTTTGACAAAAGGAGATTCATGCAAAATTACTGGAGGTTTTTGACATACTTTGAATCTTTCCACAATACATAGTCAAGGAATACAAAAAAAAAAAGCTGAGCTCACTGTATAATTATTTAAGTGGGACTACTTCAAAGGATATGGTGGAAACTAAGTATTTTATTTTTCATGTTTAAATTTCCTGTAATTTTGGACAACAATATAAAAATTACATTTTTGTCTGTGACTAATATTCATTTTCTAAGCTTATGTGTATAATAAACTGTAAATAAGACTTTTTGGAATACAGTGAAGTATTCAATCATTTTTTTATGTAAACAAAACAAGCTTTATTTTACTATGTTGCTCCTCTTTTATTCAGCATTGTGTTTGAGTCTAACATATTGTCAATGAAATCTATTAGAATTTGATGGTGTTTGTTTTAAATCTTAGATTCATATAATTAATAAAAATTACAGTTGAACATGAAACATTTTAAACTGTCCTTTCCAAAAAAGTTACTTTAATTTTTAAATTTTTCAAATGAAAGATATATATCATGGACAAGTCTTCCATTTATTTTATATCTGTTTTGTATCAACCAGTCTACAAAAATATCACTCAATTTTTATGAAACAAAAGATTTTCCTTATCTATTATTAGCATCTAAAACTATTTATCTTTTGTGTGATAAATTGTTCTTAATTATCCTATATTAGTATTTATTTTTAGAATAAACTTGAAGAAAATAGAAAATGATAATACCAAGATTTCCCTTCATATTTTATAAAGTTAGTCATAGCAATTTCAGCCAAGAGTCAACCTAAAACTCATTTTTTTTTGTATATTACATTTTACTACCAAAACTATTTATGTTAAGGAAAAACTGTATTCAAACATACTGATCTATATGTGGGCTCAAATCACATAAATGATTTTTTTTATAAACATTTTAATTTATATAAAGTTCTACAATTAAATATATACTCCATCTATCCTTGCATATCAAAAATCAAAGATAAATTTAAAAAAATATAAAATAAGCATTAATCTCATTATAGTTGTAAATTAATAAAGTTACAGATTGTTAGGATCAAGAAAATTTGAAGTTACATCTTAAGGCATAGGCTTGAACCTGACATATTTTTTTGATTTTATGGAGAAATTTATGCAAGTTTATCTTAAGACTTTCCAGGTGGACTGGTAAGATTTGGCTAATCAGACATATGCATGAGATTATAACTGAATCTAATGATATCAATTGTTAGTAGAAGATTATACACTAGTGAATTAGCCAGAACAATATGGCAGCTCCCAACTGCTTTGAAATTAGCAATTTTTTTCTGATTTTTAGTAACAGATAATTGATTTTTAGTAACAGATAATTGAATTTTATTGATCCAGATAACATAAAAATGACCAAAATCAGATCTTTATAATAGATCTATGACAATATATATATATATTGGTATAAAGAGGTTAACCTGTGTAGCTATCTCACAAATTGAGTTACTTTAATACAAGTAAAATTTAGAAATAAATTTAATCCGGAAAAGGTTAAATACTTAAATGTAAATTTTATTTGTTTATAATTTTTAAATTTTATTTGTTTATAATTTTTAATTATTTATATTTTTTTCATATTAAAAAAAGATTTAAAAAATTCTGATTCAACCAATATGAGTTAGCACCTGTGCTGAACATTGGAATCAGGAAACAATATGTTCTCAATAAAAAAGATAAAAAGAATTAAAAAATTAATTCATTATAAAAATTAGTGCAATATGAATGAACCTACATCACTTTATTTCCTTTTCTGAAAAATATAACTGGATAAGATCAGTAAATATCTAACTTAAATTTTTTTTGACACCATGACTTAAAGATTGCCACATGAAAGAAATGACATACAACTGTTTGTTAATAAAAGAAAAAAAACATTAACACAGATAAGCAGAAAAACTATGCTAAATTCTCCAGGAAGATCCAGAATGATAAGGTCTCTTTTTTCTGATATACATATATATGCAAAACAGGTGAATATGTATATTTGTACATGTATGTACACAAATCACATGATATACAGACAGATATCTAACATAGCTTTTTTTCTGATTGGGTTGTGTGAGTATCAATTATTTTTATGATAATCAAGTCTGCTGAATGTATGATGAGATGATTATGATGATTAAAAATGGTGGTGGTAGTATTTGATGGTAGATATTATGATTTGATTCCAGCTCAAATAATGAACCCCCCTCCACTGCCTGCTGTTATTCTTCTTTTACTTTCAAACTGTTTCCTCTGATTGTCGCTTGACTAAAGTGAATGTTTCCCTGTGTCCATTTTCCCGGACTACTTCCAACTGTGCAGGATCATCTAATTCATCATCATCATCACTGCTTTCTGTTTCTGCTTTGTTTGTTTGTTTGTTTTTAGCCTGGGCATCAATCTGTCCTTGGATGGAATTACGAAGCTGTATCAAAAGGAGGAAAATAAAAGTGAAATTAGATCATACATACTCTGCATAATAAATAGGTTTTGAAGAGAAAATAAAAATTGTAATACAATTGTATAAGTAATGTTAAAAATATGAATGATAGTAAATTTTATTTTTCCTATTCAAAAGTGTCTAAAGGACAAGAATACATGCTTGCATTTGATCTTAGAGTTTTAAATTTGACCCTTCTAAAGACATTATTTATGGGATGACAGCATTTAAAACAAAATTTAACAATTTTTTACAGATGTACCTCTATGATGGGATGCTACAAAGTTCTCATTTCCAAAAATCAGATCAAATAACCAAGCATCAGACATTTTTGGAAGGACTTCTTGATTGGGCTGAGAATTTTCAGCCTCTTCTCATATACGTACATATGCAATGTGTTATCAAAAAGGTTTTGGGACTCTGAAGAATGTATGAAAACTGAATCCAATATGAACTTTTGTCATTTACTCTTTGTGAGACATCATTAAAAACAAATAATGAAATGAAAATGGTCAGTCACAAAATTAATCCCTTAAAATTTGTACAAATATTTAGTTAAAATGAAGGACTCATTGAAAAGTTATAAATTCTGTATTAATTTTTGCTGAGTCAAAATTCAGTAATAATTGAAACTTTCAAAATACATAAAATTTGTAAGACAATATGAAACTTAATTCAAGCCTTCAATTTATTTCAACAGTTAATTTTGTATTTTCAATGCATGAAGTTTCAATTAATTTTCTTTTCATAATACAAGGAGTGCTGAAAAACTCAAATCAATATGACCAAACATCAGAATTTGATTTTTTTGGATTCCCTTCTTCATTGGGGCAAGAACCTTTCAGCACCCCTTGAGTTTAAGCCAATGTAAGCAAAGAGAAATTTACCTCTTTAAGGCCAACTACACCAATCAACTTTCCTATATTAGTGACAAAGGCATGACTGAGGCCAAGCAAAGAAAATAAAGAATGCACCTGAAATAGAAATAAAAATATATTAAATAAAAATAAATAGTAAATATACAAATCTTTTTGCTAGTACTAAACGATTATTTCAGGTTAGATAATCAACCATTATATGATCCTAAATAGCTTTTATTTTCATCATACTCAAGGATCACAGTCTAAATTCAGACTACTAAATTAAGGTTTGTGACAAAATATAGAACTGGACTCCAAAAACTTTTCCCAAGAATCAACTTCCAAAAGTTCAACTGAAAATTCATATACTACTTACAATTCTAAAGTATCTTTTTCACAATATCAGTGTCCAGGAGTTGCAAATAAATCACAAAAATCCTGATTAATATGATACTCCATTCTCACTTTAATTGAAATTTGTGTTATGAAAACTAGCTTCCAATGTTTGCTTGCATGGTTTTATAATAAAACTATTGATTTCTTTTTTTACAGCTTATTGACCCTTTGTTGGTTATTCAAAACCAGAACATATCTTGGACTGTAAGAATACTTTTTTTTTTAGTGAATATTGCATTAACAATTCTTTTGAGAATAATGATTTTTCCAGATACAAGTTGTACTATTTAACCTATAGCTGGAGGGAGGAGAGAGAGATTTATACTTTTCCCTAGAGGGATTTCTGCCTTATTGCAGTAATTAAAAAAATACCTTGAAACTTAAGTAAACAGGTAGCTGATTTGACAATAAATTTTAAGATGTTAATTATATTTTAAAACTAATTTGTCATTCTGTGATACCATCGATTTTATGTAAAATCAAATTAAAAAAAAAGGCTTGCATGTGTATAAATATATTTTTCTACAAGCAATATAAATAAAGCAAAATAATTGTAGTAGCTTATTGTAATAAAGAAATCCAAGTGTCAATTTATAGAATGGGTCCCTAAATCAGACATGAACTAAGATCAAATGATTTACAAGTGAAATCAGAAATACAGTGGAAATTTAATATTTTTCATTTTTTCTATTTATACTGAAATGAATGACTTACTATGCTTGTACTTTAAGTAAATTAATTAAAGGTAAAGCAAGTTAGAAACAGTGTCAAATGTCAACATAAAATGGTATGAAGTCTATGAGATGCTGGAGATTATGCAGGGTTATGTATCCTAATACACTGAAGATTTGTTTGTAACTAAGTTGTTTATTAAGATGCAACTAGAAAGAATTTAGTGAAATCAGTAACATCCCATACATGATCAATCAGGTCTAAATCAAAGTAAGGGATAATGGAACACCTGGAATACAGTCAAGTGTTTCTGCAACACATATCATCCACGCATAATGGGAGATTGCATTCACTTTCTGGAACAAACCATCACCACTGATAAACATAGCATACAGAGATGAAATGGTCTGCTACAAAATACATCCGTGAACATATCACTTGTCATGACTCCAGTTTCACTAGTCATCCTTTTAATCCCCAACAGAGCACACCCCATACCATTACAGAAACACCAGCCACAGCTTGCACATTTTGTTGACAAGCTGGATCCATGGCTTCGTACAGTCTCCTGGCAATGGCAATGTTCTCTGGCCCATGTAATGTGCAAGTAACTGATGCTGTGGTGTCAATAATGGTAGTCTTGTTGCTCAACAATGACATGGAATACACTGTACAGTGTATTGACTGCTGGGTTCAGTGGCCCCAGTATTGAATTAAAATTTTATTTGATGCATTGAATGATTACCATTCTTGTCCATCATTGGCAGTCCCAATCTTTCATCACCTGTGGCCACTTGTAGTTTTCATGTGCTGTTGCTATCTGTCTGGAATTCATATATTCCTGGTATATAAGAGAAATCCATTAGAGATTTGTCCTGACCAAGTTCCAATGAGCAAAAGGAAATAAATTGCACATATCAAAATGTGTCTATGTAGATTCAAATTGCAGTCTAAATGTTTCTGTTTCAGGTATAAATGTACAGTTAAGTGTTGCCATGGAGTCAGGGAAGTACACAGCTGTAATCAGATTCCTGTTTTTGAAAAGTGACATTCCAAACAATTTTGAAGGAGAGAATATCAATATATGAACAAAATGTCCCATGACATAGTGTTATTAAATATTGATATTGGCATTTCAAATGTGGTTATGTTTCAGTTGAAAATAACTCCTACCCACCAACCATTCAACAAATGGAAACTGCCATTTTAGAAGAATGGCACATAATCATACAGGAACTAATGGGTAGAGGGTAAAATTAGTGTGATGTCTGTTGTAAAAACTAAATCATAATTAAAAAAAAATGTAAGTATGGTGATTCCCTATCAAAGATATATTCATCCCTCTACTCACATAGTGATGTTTAGTCTTCTGGGATCAAAAATGGTATTGTGCTTATAGAGTTCTTATTCAAAGTTACCACAATAACTGGGACTTACATTATTGATATTAAAACTACAGGAAGCTATCAAACTCCATATACTCAGAAAAGATGTCCAAACCTTGCAAAATGATGCAACAGTACACAAGTCCCATGTCACACAAATGGAAGTTAAAAATTCCTCCCCATCCCCTTGTTTTACCTTATAACCATCTGATTTCGATTTCTATCCCTTCATGAAAGACATGACATTTCTAGGATGCACTTATTAATAAGGTTGAGTCCTGGCTGTAATCCCCAAAAGAAAGGTTGCCATATCAAACAGTACAAGAAGTGTATAACTCGTAAGGATTAATCATTTTGTCAGTCTTTACCTACTGGATATGGGTCAAGAAAAATCTTTAATGGACACTTTTTGTACCCTTGCTACTGTTACCTAAAAAAAACCTAGACCAGTTACCCACTAAAAGATAGAATAATTTAACTTTATGGTCTCAACAATTATTCTGTAGACAGTGTTAAATCTTATTCATGACTGATGACTGCAACAGCTACATTATCTAATACATAATGCATACATCATCTGTCCAAGATCATTTATACTAGTGGTGGAAGTTGAAACCATCCAGTGTACTACTGGTTTTTAATTTTGGGGGCACTTTACACAACAAATGAACTAACTAAGGTAGACAGAACAAAAACTACATTCGTTACATTTAAAACACATGCACACACATTTCCTCTCTGGTTTTGTGACAAAAACAAACAAGAAGCTAATCCTATTTTTAATTCTGAATCTGGTTTCTTTCAGTGCATATTACTTTGGTGTATAAACAAATAAATCATGCAACAGAAAAAAAAGTAAAGATATAAAACTGGTCTTATTTTCTCTTGAGGAGATGAATAAGTTCCATGAAGAAGAATTTTGAAAAAATAGTATTTGTTTTTCTTTCTTGAAACAGTTTTAAACATTGTAATATAGATTATGACATTTCAAGTGGAAGAGCCTTTTTTTTACATCCCTGAACTCAGATTTTAAAAAGTTTTCTTGTCAAATTCTTCAATCTTTTCACCATTTTTTTCCTTGTTTTTGTTTTCTTCTTTTTTTATAGTGAGAAGCAAATTTAGATTTTAATAATTATATTAGATATTGTGATAAAAAGTTTAGATATGAACACATAACAAAGTACTTATCTGTAGATGATATTTCAGAAATAGTAAAATAGCAGTTTCAAACTGTGAAACAATGACTTTAATTGGAATTTAACCAGATTAGAAATTTTATATTCAGTTTACACAAATCTAAATTTCTTTTTCTGTTATGTATGTATGTATGAATGTGTTCGTGTGTGTGTGTATATATATATATATATATATATATGTGTGTGTGTGTGTGTATATATATATACACACTTTGATATCTTTGATAATTGCTTATGTAAGCCGAAAGCTTAGATTGTATTAAAAAATATGGATGAATATTGTGAATTTCTTTCTTTGTTCAATGATAATGTTATTAAACTTAATCAGATGTTATGAAAAGAATTTACATAAAATAAATAGACAACACTTGTGTATATTATTTAATGAAATGTGTGTGTATATATATATATATATATATATATACACACACACAAGTATAGGATTGGTGTATACGGAATAAATTTCAATAACCAAAAATATTATTCTTATAAGAGTGCTCAATATAGAGTAGAGCAAATATAGTTTATTTGAAAATTATAACAAAGATGTTTTAAAATCACTACAAAAACAGCCATTTTGTTTCAACACTTCTAGTGTCTTATCAAGTGATTCACTTGATAAGACACTAGACAAATAAATTATATCATCATTACAATGCACAAAGATTATTCAAATGTAATGCCTGGACTATTTTAATTCTAAAATCATTACAATTCCAAGGGATTTTTGCTTTTGCTATAAACCATAAAATGTCTAGAAGCCTAGAAGGAAATTTTTGACATTATCTTCTATTTTCTTACCATTATTCTCTTTAAAAATGGTTGGACTGCTTGAAAAATATTGAAAACAAACAGAAATAGAATTTATGTCTTTGAAAGGAGAAAGTCATGTAAACATTCACAGGAAGTTAGTGAATGCTTGTGGGAAAGCTGTACTTGATGTGAGCACAGTAAGTAGATGAATCAGTAGAGTTAATGGCAATTTTAGAGAGAAACAAGAAACTGACCTGTGTGACAGGCCCCCACAGCTGCTTCTGTGAATGAGGACAAGGCCAAACAGGTTTATACACTCATTTCTTTCAGAAATTTTATTTTCTGAAAGAAAATAAAACCTGCTGCAACAGTATTTTCACTATTGCCCAAATTAATAAAGAAAAAAATGCAAATCAGATTCAATTACAAAGAAAAAATATTTATTTCTAACCAGCTAAATAAGGGTTCTTGCAAAAATTTGTCCCTTTTAGCTAAGATAACCTATTCTCTTAGTAACACAATGTAAAAAAACATAGCAGAAAACAAACTTAAAAATTATAATACACAAAGGAAAAAAAAAAAAAGAATTGCGCCCACCTGCTGTGTGAATAATAACAATAAAAAAAGTGGGGAGAGCCTTAGCTCTACAGTACACTTTCAGTCCTTTCAGTTTTTATCTTTCTTCTTTTCTCTTGTGTAGATAAAGTTCTCTTCTTGGTGACCAAACTCCCTCCTTTCTTCACTTATTTTCCTCCCGTCTGCCGGGAAATTACGCCTTTCTTTTATGGCCGCTAGAAGGTGAAAATTTACTTAAACACATGGTAAAACGCTTTTTGAAAACACACGTGTTTGCTCCTTCTGCTTAAATGGCTTTAGCTCCAAACTCCACTTATGGACTTCTTTTCAACTTTCTTTTCTGGGGCTTTCTGGGGCTTCTTCGAAAGACTTCTCAAAACTTTCTCTGAAAGGGAAACTTACCCTCAACAACATCCTTCACTTATGGGCAAATGCTGCCTGCCTTTTCAGCAGGGAGAGAGAAAATGAACCTCTTCTCTAAGCGGTCTCGTTTCCAACTGCTACTAAGGTCCAGTCCCAGTTCTTCCTTCCCTTTCAAAGGGGGGCAATTCCCCTCTGAACCGTCCAATCACAGTCCATTAAAAAACATATCAGCAGGTTCTTAGGCCAGTAACACAATGGGTGTCAATTGTTCTCCCTTGACCAAAAAATTTTCAAATTTCAGTTGACAGAAAAATCATAATTGCAAAACTCTGTGAAAGCCTTCAGGTGAGCCATGGTAATTTCTGCAACTGAGTCTGTGAAAAGTTGGTTCTCAGACTACAGATAGGCACCATGATGAAACAGAGGGTGTTTGCTATTACAAAGTTTCTGTAGCTTCACAGATAACCCCCTTCCTAAGCAGGATATTCACAGATGATAGGAAACCTGGGTTAATAACTATGAGCTAGACAGCAAAAGATCAATGGTGTGACACTACCCAAACTCACCGAGAAATAAGTTTAAGTCAACACATTCTACAGAGAAAGTGATGGCCACTGCATTTTGGGACCAGAACAGTTTATACTCAGTGGCACTACTTTCAATTCTGACTCCTTTGTGCTCACAACAAGGCTTATTTGAGTTAGGCGACCTCTGAAAATGAGTGATTATCAGACAAGCAATTCCAATGCATGAATGGACAACCTTGCCTCATTCTGTCTTGGTGTTCTTAGATTTTCATATTTTGGTTCATGAAAGAGACACTTAGAGTACAGGAGTCCTCTGATGAAGCTAAGAAAGCAGCCAAGAAGCTTCTATGAGGTTGGTAATATCTTCATTCAAGAATGGAATTCCATGATTAAGAAAAAAAGAAACTGTTGAAAACTAGATCTGGAATCTTGAGACTTGTACGTTCATTTTATTAAGTTTGGTGTATTTTTACTATTAAATCTGTTGCAATTAAAGAAAAACAGGCATTACTTTTTGACTAAACTTGTAATTTTTAAGCTATATTGTCTCACTCTTTTGATGAAATTGATCATTCAGGAGCAAAATGAGATGGTCTTCAACCCAGGGAAGTTTTTGTTTATATAGAAGAAAAACCCAAATTATCTAATTACATAATATTTGCTTTGAAATGCTTACCTTGTGTAATGATGTTCTTTCTACTAACTGAAATGGTGCTGGGTCTATATGACATCCTTCCCAGTTAATTGGTTGGTTCAATAAGGCACTTTCTTGATCCTTGTCCTAATTAAAACAAAATAAAGAAAAAAAAAACACTTGTTTAATTCAAGATTATTTATAGCCTTAATATGGTTTTATGATTAATCAAATAAAAATATAATAACTTTTAATATGGGAAAAAGTGTATCACTCACAAAAGATCAAATTTTTTTATTGGTTGTTAAGTTCAATCAGCATTGGGCATTTGATCTTAAAATATTTAGAATAGTAGTCTACATAAAACTTAAAAAAAAAGTTAATTTGTAGAAAAGGGTTAAAGATGTGGGCCTTTCATTCTAGAAGAGTCCACCTATCATCCAGTTTGCACCCCTCTGGTCTTTTAAACAGGAGTAGAGGCCTATCCCTTGTTTTCAGTTTAGGATTGGGTTTCTAATTTTCTAAAGTTTGACTCAGCTCTATGCTCCTAACGCTTGTTCTTTTGTATGCTAATATGTTGACACAGTAACTCTCTACCTTGAGTAGCTCTTGGGCCTTGTATTGGGTGAACATTATCAAAAACAAAAAACTGAAGAAAAGAAAAACTTTGTACATATTTACATGAAACTTAAACAAAGGTGAAGGGATTTACATATGATCTTCATTATATTAAAAAGCATCAAGACAATTCCAGACAATTTTCAAGTTGGATGCAATTTATTACTTAAATATGTTATATTAATATTATTGGAACTTAAAAATACTTTTTACTGCCGAGCAAAAAAGTGAAATATTGGAAAAGGACTAATAAAAATTATTATACATTATTTTACTCAGACTAATGTTCTTATCTTGGTTGTTATCACATTTTGGTCATTACACTTTCTGATGACAGGTCATTGTCATTTTACTGACCATGCAAAGGAAATCTCTGCTAAGTTAATTCATTCTTGTAATGTCACTTGTCTCTTCCACTGAACAAGAGCATATGACTCTTTCTCAATCTCAATGACTCACTCACTCTTGTTCTCACACTTTTTTATTCTCTCTCTCACTCACACACTGACTCTTATACATGGTTAATATTAATTACATCTGAAACTTAGATATTATTCCATTCTGTTGTTTCTTTTTCATTATTATTTAAAAAAATTTTTTTAATATTCTGATGTTTCAAACTTGTCTGATGTGTGTTTGAATCTCATGATTAACAGATTTCTTTTGGAATGGGTGGGTTCTTTTGTCACTTTTTATAGAGAGTGAGATAGATTTTTTTTTAGAGAGAAAGAGAGAGAGAGATTGCTTCTCATGTTCTGAGTAATATAAACAAACTTTGTACACAATCCAAAGAAAGCAAAAAGTGTATTCAGAAGTGTAGACAATAGTTACAATACTTTTTTCTTTTTTAACTGAATAACTGTAAAAATAATAAATGTAGCATGAATTTTTTAAACATATTTATGAAAGAGAAAATTCAAGCAGAAATTATTATGCTCATATTTCTCTTGGTGGATTTAGTGTTTTTTTTAAAAAATTTTTTAGTCTGTACAAAACATTTGAATGAATATCAAAATGTAAGCTAGGAAAAAACAAAGAAAATAAATACCTTTATATCTTCTTGATGACTAACTTTCCCACTTGGGGAGAAAGGCTACAAAATCAAAATTAAATGGTAATGTGAATTTAAAGATAATGTCAAGTATAGAAACAAAATCAGTTTTTAAATATAATGCAGAAAAAGCTTCTCTTTTTTTAACAATATAGAAATTATCACAAGAAATAAAACATTACTGAGAAACTAAACAATACTGCCAATAAATATAATACAGTCATAGAGTACAATATTATAATACAATGCATTTATTTCCTCAAATAGACAGGTTACTGAACAAAATCTAATTTTTATGTCTAAGATGACCGACATAACTCTGGTACTACTTAAGTGGTCTGCTCATAAAAAAAAAAAAGAAATGAAAAATTTTGGGGGGATATATTTTTGTAGATTAACATCTTCTAAGCACAACATTTGTCAGAATTGAAAAATATTGATTTTTTAGAAGTGGGGGTCTGTTCATAATATAAAGATAGTATCAAATTGATACATGTCTTCTTAAAGAGTTATCTGTACTTTATTTTTATTTACAAATACCAAATTTGAAACTGTGCTCATTGTTAATTGCATACTACTGATAATGTCTGTTTTCCACAATTAATAATAGTATGAAATTATCAAAGATGTAAGAGCAGTTTCAAACTTGACATTTGTAAATAAAATCAAAGCACAGATAATTCTTTAAAAAGTCAGGGATCAATTTTACTCTGTATGTATATTATAAACAAGGCACCCTACCTCTAAAATGATTAGAAAAATCTATATATTTTTATTCTAACACATGTTATGACTTTAGGGAAAATTTAATCTACATAAATTATTCCTTCAAAACTTTTAACATATATATATTTACAAGCAGACCATTCAATTTTAGTGCCCCAATTCCTAAAGAATCTTGCAAAAAGAAAGGAATTTGATTAGTATTTGTAAAATCTGTATATGTGATAAAAAAGAAATACAAGTTGTCTGTCTACATAGCTTAAATTTACAGTATGTAAAACTTGAGTGTAGGTATGGTCAACATTTCACTTTCTATACTTCTATTAAATCTAAAAATATTTATATAAATATATTTAGCATTTTTATATAATTTGGCCACAAAATGTGCATTACTTCCATTTAATTAGACATTTGATTGTTTTTTTTTATTTTGCCAAAATTTTAATTTTTAAGTTAAATTAGTTACTGAGAACAACAAGGAATTCATTAAATTTGCTGTTTTTAATTTTCATTAATGACCTTCCTGATGACATCAGCCCTTAACTTGACACTGATGGCACTACCATTTACCCCTACCTCAATAGTAAGGCTGATCAGTCAAATGTCAAAATGACAGTCGATGTACAAAATGACCTCAAGACCATCGTTGGGAGAAAAGATGGCTTGTCAGTTTTAACGCTTCCAAAGCTAAACTGCTCTCTATTAATCATCTGTCAATTGTAATTTTATTTTAATCAATTACAAAAAAAATACTTGTTCACATCTGTATGTTGCTTGAAACAGTAGATATATTTCTAAGCAAATTTTCTTAGTTCTGGTTAATTATTGCCAGATATTAATAACGTCAGAAGCATTTGAGATTGAGGGAAGTTCATTAAATTTCATTTCAATCATGAATTTGTTCTCAAGTCAATAATTTCCACCTGTATTCATGATCTTTTGTTTACCAAGTGAAAATAGGTTTATAAATTCAAATATACAATCTTCTTGTTTTCCCATTGTTCAATGAATTCACATTTTCTATCATTTTCTGATTTTTCTCACTCATTTTTTTATATTTTGATGAATAACCAAATTTTTAAAAATAAAATAAAATTAGTAAAAGTACAAAACTAAGAAAAAGCACAAATTTGTAATGTACAGGTGTTGATTGTGAACTTTATCTTTCATGAGATATGGGAGCAGAAGACATATCAGATTGCCCCTGTTAAGACCAGGGCACAGCACCTCACTTGGGCTGATGATATCACTAATTGGACCTTGACAAGTTTCAGTTTGATGGTAGGATTTGGTTGTAGTTGCACATCTCCCATGAACTTCACTTGTCAACCATATAGATTGGTGAACATTCTATAATAGTGTGGGTGTGTTCATGTGGCATGGGTTGGGTTTGATGGTCTACTTAAATATATCATAGATTAGTGACCACTACATTGCACTGCTTTCTGACCATTTGCACTTATTCGTGGAATCTATGTACATCTAATAGAACAGGTTATTCCAATGGGATAATGCACTGTGTTATCAGGTACCAATTGCCAAGAATTGATTTGACAAGCATTCTGCATACTTCCAATGAATGATGTGGCCACTTGACCAAGCATTGATTAGACATGGTGGAGAAGTCCTGCAAAATCCTGTATCTGCAGGGAGCTGTATCACAGTTACTGAAGTGACATAGCTCAACATCTCTTCAGATGTCTTCTAAACAGTTGTAGAATCAATACCACAACAAAATGTTTTATTTTCTGAATGTTACCAATTTTAATAATAAAATTAAGATATTGTGTAAGACTTAATAGTAATGTTTACATTTTGGTTATATTTATAATTTCATCTGCATATTTATTTTGAACTTATCCATCCAGTTTCAAATATTAAAATTAATCTTGTCTTTTGTAGAATTCAATTTGCTTATTTTTCTTTCTCTTTATCTTTTCAAGTTGAAAATATGAAAGGGAGAAAGAAAAGAAAAATTTAACAATCCAGTTCTAAAAATTAGACAACATACACCAGCAAGAAGGTATTGGTCAAATCAACAAAATCCCTGTTCTTTTATTTATTTGTTAACAATTCAATTTGAATAGTTAGGAACTTAAAATCTGCACGTGAAATTACAGCAATTTAAATATAATTAGACATTTACATTGTAACACTTTCATAGTAATTTTTCTACTCCTGTTCAACAATATGATTTTTTTTTTTTTAATCAGGTTAGATTATTTTTTCCATCTAAGAAAGTCACTGAAATCAAGTATTAGAGACAATGTATATATTTCTTCCATAAAATATTAACCTGAACATACACTTATCAACACTTACCCTTTTGAAGATATTACGAAGAGATTCAGGCATACTGTTTTTCTGGAAAGAAGAAGATTCAAGAAATAAGAAAATACATTCAATACAAAAATATCTTAGAATTTTATATTTTAACTCATCAATGTTCAAATATATAGTAGAAAAGTACATTTCCCTACTTTGTTTTAAAACTCTCTCAGCAGTTGCCTTACTTTTTCAGACATAGAAAACAAATACCAAATAAACAAATTCTTGTTGAATTTATTTGGTTTAGCCATGGTTAATCACCCATCAGAAACATTTTTATTTATTTATCATTCTTGAGAATTAGAAATACATGTAATATAACATGCAAATTGCAACAGAAACACTTTCTAACATTTTAGACTGCCTTTAAAGATTATTTAACATTTTCTGATATTTATGCATGAAAAGAGTGTCTCATAAAAAATTGAAAAAAAAATCTTTTTTGTAAATAACACCAAATCTATATATCAATATATTTTAAACTGATTTCTCACCAAAAGACTTCACAAAATCCAAACTCATTTTAAACAAAGACGGTTTAGGAAAATTTGCTGTTTATCTTAATTGTTCCAAAACAGTCACCTGCACCAAAATGCTGCCAAGAATATTGTTTGTGAATATTTTCTCTAAACATAGACCATGAAGACTCTAAGATTCTTTATGAGATTGAAGTTAGGTGAATTTCTTGATCATCTGATCAACACATCTTTTTGGGAAAATATTAAACATTTCCAATCTGTGCACATCTCTGAATGAATCTGTTTTTCACTAATGAGGCAGATATCAAAATCCATAAAAAAGATCAATTTAACATTTGTACTCACAAAAAAAAAAAAAAAAGAAAAAAAAAGGTGTGTGATAAAGATGGATTTTTTCTTCACGCCACTATAATTGTATATGCCGCAGGCAATTTTTATTGTTTTATAAATCTATTTTTAGAATTTTATTAAAATCCAAACATGAAACTGGATTTATGCATATTCATTTTTTCTTGAGAATTGACAACAAAAGAATTATACTACCTTTATTTTATTATATAGTTTATTTACAAGAATATTTTTTTATTTACAAATTTATAAAAATCTGTGAACTAACTAAAATGCAATGTTTATTATTTACCATATTATAAAGAAATAACCATTAAAATGGATTTTTGATATGTATATCTGTGAACAAGAAAAGAAAATTAAAATAAACACATAACTACAAATTAAATTCACTAAAATTGTTTGCAAGCATCTGGATTTATACCTTTTTTTCCCAAATTAGTAACAAAAATGTCAAACACTATTTTTAATATTGCTTAATACTTAAGTTGTCAATTCTTGAGAAAAAAGAGAATGCATAAAAATCTAGTTTCATATATTTGGGTTTTATTGGAATTCTAAAAATCAGTTTTTAAAACAATAAAAATTGCCAAGGGAGTATACAGTAATATCAGTGTCAAGAGAGAAAAAACATCCTTTTGACACATCATATTTTTCCAGATATGATACTAAGATATAGGCCAAATATTTATGTTTATACACAGCTCAAAACTGAAAATGTCAGCAATATCTAAGACTACAATTTTCAATACTGTTACATTCTATTAGCAACAGTATTTGTATTCCATTCAGTGTGAACCATCCAGCTACAAACAAAGTCAGTTTTATTATTAAATAAATGTTATTATGATTTATGTAAAATGTCATAAAATTAAGAATAGTTACACTATTCTTTTTAGTATTTATGAATATTTTTATGCAGTAAAAATATGTTGAAACCTTTCTTGTAAAGATGCTGATTTAGTTACCATGAGGGAGAAATGATTTAATCTCATAATGATGCAAAGTAGCTTCATTACTTTAGACAGATCTCTATACTTACTCTCGATAAACTTCATAATCTCTTTGCAAGCAAGAAAACTTATAAAATCTACAAAACTATGGATATTCACAGTTTTTTTCTATAGTTTTTTTTTTTTTTTTAAAATTGTTATCACCCCAAGCAAGGCAGTACAGCCACTAGCACACAAGGAGTTACAGGGTGTTGAGGAATTAGACAGAAACATTAGTAATAAGAAAAAAGAAAAGAGCAATCAGGTGGACAGTAGATAGTGATTGACATTGCATTTAAATTTTTGCAGATTAAAGTTGGTTGGAAAGCATGGAGCCAGGAGGGTGTTCCACAAGCAAGAAGTGTGGGATAAGAAACTGTTAGCATAAAAGTTATGACTACATGTAGTTAGCTCAACTGTAAATTGAGGAGATCTTGCCATCAAACTATTACTGTGCTTAAATTCATACAGTCTGGGTACCATAGCGTAGAACTCATCTGAACAATTATCATGAAAGTATTTATAAAAAAGGTAACATTACAGTATTGGGCAAGTGACTGAAGCTGAGCTGAGACATCAGGGCCAATAATATTGCCAATTCTTCTTTGGATCTTATCAAGAAGCTCCAGGAAAACTGCAGGGGAGTGGACCATATATGGCAGCAATATTCTAAGCATGGATGGATGCTAGACTTATAGATATGCAAGATAGATTCCAGAGAGAAAAATTGACTCACTTGACACCTGACTTCCTTAGTTTATCTGGCGATGGATTCAATGTAGTCTTTCCACTTCATATCAGCTGAGTACATCAGCCTGAGAAGGTGCAATGAGTCACTTTGTTGGAGGATAGCATCAGCCATGTTGATGGAAGGCAGTGAGGGGTCTCTCAGATGATTAATAGAGAGCAGTTTAGCTTTGGAAGCATTAAAACTGACAAGCCATCTTTTCTCCCAACGATGGTCTTGAGGTCATTTTGTACATCGACTGTCATTTTGACATTTGACTGATCAGCCTTACTATTGAGGTAGGGGTAAATGGTAGTGCCATCAGTGTCAAGTTAAGGGCTGATGTCATCAGGAAGGTCATTAAGGAAAATTAAAAACAGCATAGGACCAATGAGAGAGCCCTGGAGGACACCCCCGTTAGTACAATAAGATGTAGATGAGTGGCTGTTCAGGACAATTTTCATTCCACAATTTGATAGGAATGACTGGATCAGCTCAAAAATATATCTGGAGATACCGTAACTTTTAAGCTTGTGGAGAAGATCCGAATGTCAGATCCCATCAAAGGCTTTTGAGATATCCAATGCTACAGCTCAGGCTTCATGGTTTTTATCTAAAGCATGATAGACTCTTTCTGCAATTATCATTAGTACATCAGCAGTTGATCTGGAAAAACAAAAGCTGTATTCTTTGTCTGAGAAAAGGCCCTATGATCAGAGATGACTAACCAATTTAGCATTGATTAGGGCCACTAGGAGTTTCCCAAAAAGAGGCAGAAGGCTAATAGACTGATGATAATTCGATGGGTCAGATGGTTCACCAAAGTTCTTAAAAACTGGAAAAACAGACAGTGACTTCCAGCAAGCAGGAAAGCAGGAGGCAGTGAGGCATTTACTATACATTTTAGAGAGAACAGGAGCCAGTTCAGGAGCACACTTCTTAATGACTATTAAAGGGATGCCATTGGGTCCACATGCTTTGTAGGGATCAAGGTGGAAAGGATTATATGCATATCATTCAACAGAGAATCAGTTCTAAGATGAGTCAAGAGTAGAGTTTAAAGAGAATTTACAGGCAAAGCATTCAGCTTTATCAGCAGAGGATGGTAACACCTCAAATCGATTTATTTAGTACCCTACTACAGAGACACCAGTAGTCATGAGAGCCAAGGTTTTTAGAGGCTATGTGGTACCTCATTCTCTCAGCAAACAGGGACTTAGCTTCTTTGAGGACTTGCTTACATTTGTTACGAGCAGTAGCAAATAGGCACCTGTTATGATGAGAGCTGTCCCATTGGTATAGCTGGAAATAGTGGTTCCTGCATGCTATGGCAGCTGAGCATGCTGGTGTGAACCATGCAGTGGATTTCAGTTTCACCTGGTATTTCCGAGAAAGGATGAAAGTGTCCATGCTGGCTTTGATCCAAGAAAAAAACTTCAGTGGCGCATTTTTCAATTTGGAGGTTGAAGATGTTGAGGAATGTCATGAAGAAAATCCCAGAATGAGTCCCAATCAGCATATTGCTAACGGAAAGAGGTCTTATGGATGGGGGGTTCCTGTTTAATGGATGCTTGGAAGGAGAGTGGTTCAAGTTACCAAGAGGGCAGAATTGTGAAGCTTGGCAAGCGTGGGGAGAGGAGGTAAGAAATAGATCCAATAGAGAATCATGTTGCTCAGTTTGGCTAAGGAAACGAGTAGGGAAATCCATGATTTGGGTGAAAGATTGAGCAATGGAAAAATTTAATGTCTGAATACCAGCAACATCAGCACTTTTAGAATGTTTCAGCCATATGTCATAGTGAGTATTAAAGTCACCAAAGACAAAGATGTTCATAGATGAATGGAGAGAAAGTGTCTAGTTAAAATCTTTCTATGGTAAAAAGCAAATATTTGATATTAACATGGTGTTTCACTTAGGACAATTTTTGGTGCTCTCCTAGCTTAGCATTTCAAATTATCATCATTGCTTTGAAAATACTTGTCAATTGCCATATAATAATATCTAATTAAAAAAACATTAAAACATTTTCAGATAATTTTTTTAATATTCATACAATTTAGGAAAGCAAAAAGCACATACCATAGAATAACATATCATATAATTTTACATTATCACTCCCTACCTTGGAGGAATGGTTCAACTTTATATTATTATAAAACATTTTGTTTTTTCTTTTAATTTAAAAATAATGAAAACATTGAAAAATGGACGGAATCCATTTTTCATTTTCCAATGGTAATTCTCTATAACTGAAAGTTTTTCCTTTTTATAATGATCAAAACTTTCTCTTTCTTTCTCTTCTAATGATACTGCATTCATTAATCTAAATATTTATATAGAATTTTTTTTATGCTTTTCTTTTTTAGTCATGTAAAATAAATAAATAATGTGAATTTCTATTTATATTCTTATCATGAGCAATTCTCAAAGATAGTAATTTTATGTTCATCCCAAGATTTATTAACAAGCAAGAGATTTCTCTTTTTTAT